CGACGTACCGTGCGAGCTGCATAGCAGCAACCCGTAACCCCTTCGAACCTTAGTGCCCCAAACCATTTCCGAACTCATTTTTATGTTCAAAACAATTCTTTTCCATTTTCACAACTCAATTTAAACATGCACATATCCACACATGGTATAAAGACAAAACACTTAAATTCCATCAAACACTTGACAAAATACGATCTTTAAAACAATACTCATTGCATGCATGAAACCAAACCAAACAATCATGAATTTCATTACCTTTAAATGTTTTCAAAGTTTAGAAAACACAATAGATGAGTAAGTGAAAATACCAAGACCCTTAAACTTTCAAGATTTCGGGTTTCCAAAATAAAGTTGCTTGTGGTTTGAAGGAGAAAGAAAGTTGCTCAACAACTCGTAGAATTTTGGAAGGATTTCTTGAAATTTAAGGAAAGGAAGAGCTTAAGGGTGAGTTCTTGGAAGTCTTAGCGAAGAAAGAAAATCAAGAAGAAAAGAAGAAAGCTTACCGGGTGAAGGAGGAAAGCTCTCAGGTCTCCTTGGTTTCGTTTCTCTTTCAAGCTTCTCTCTCTCTCTCTCTCTCTCTCTCTCGGCCAAGTGAAGAAGAAGGAAAATGAAGAAATGGAGGAGAGGAGAGGAGAGGAGAGGAAAATGGACTTTAAATAGCCAAGTGGTGTGCATTTGATCTGTTGGATCACATGCAACGGCCGAGGGCCATTGATCGGCCCCTTGGCCGATCGGCCATCGCCTCATGGTGTGCATGCATGCAATGTGGTGGCCGGGCAGGCGGGGCTTGCAACAGGCGGATGTCAGTAGACAGTAGGTGGACGTGTGCTGCAGGCGCGCGCACTGTTCAGCGTGCGCTGTAGGTGCGCGGTGATGGGATGTGCACTGCAGGCGTGCGCATTGTGGCGCATGGGCTTGTGGGCTTGCGGGCATGCGGGCTCGCGTGTCCGTGCGCATGCCTGCTGTCATTTCCTACAAGGCTTGCCCGCGGGTTCCTTCTCCGTTTCGCTTTAATTTTTCTTTTTGATTTAAAAAATTTTAAACATTCTTTTTGATAAAATAACTATTTAAAATATGTTTACAATATTTTTAACACAAAATTTAAAATAAAATAAAATAAAAAACAGAGCAAATTACAACATTAAGTATTAAAATGTTTAGGGGTATCACAATAATTTTTAATGCTTGTAATCTAAGGAAGAGGAAAAATATAATGGTAAATAGGTACTACCAGTATAAAAGGGCTGCAGAATTTCCTGATAACCTCCTTTGGTGGTGTTCATTCTCTTATTGCATTATTGCATCGAGTTTGAGTTCTTGGGGTTGAGTTGGGGTGACAATAAATTCTTTGTGGATGAGATTTGAGCTTGACAGGGTATCAGGGGTGATAAGAAAATGAGAGATCGTTTTTCTTGTATCCCCTTGGCTACTTAAGGCATATTTAGAAAGAGAGATAATAATCCATATATTGTTTTGACCTAAGAGACTAAAGAAAGAAAGGAAATTACACAACCAGAGGACAAGAGATCATTCTCAAAAGAAACATCGGAAAAGCAAAAAAAAGAAAAATTACATCAAAATAGCAAAGAATTCCAATCCATTTGCAAGGTAGATAAAGGAGCATATTTATTTTAAAAAATGGTAGATAAAGGAGCATCCATTAAAAAGAAATGAGCCTCAGCCCATAAAGTACAGAAAACCAGTGTAACCCACAGAAAGGACAGTTGATTTAAAGAAAAAATTTCAGCATTTTGTGGGATTCCTACCGATGCTGTACTGGTTCTTATCCCTTTCTATAACCAATTTTGCTATGATGTAGATTATTTTTCTTCTTTATTTTAGAATGGAGATTAGATTTCTTGCATGTCATGGGAGATGTCCGGAGGTTAAGAATCGAATGAATGTTTTTTTTTTCCAAAAAATAAACAACATTATTTTAGTTTGAATTATCCCCATTCATCTTGAATTCTTTGGAGCAGGAATTCAACCCCTTCTTTGAAAACTAGGATTAGACTGTGGTCTGGAATTGTGAATAAGGGAATTTATACATTTGGTTTGAACTGGATAAAACCTTAGTCCCTGAAATGTTTTCTGAACTCTAATATTTAAGGCTCCTAGGTAATGAAAAAGAGCTATAACTTCAAGTGTTCTGTTTACAGGCTTATGGACAATATTTAGTTAGCAAGAAATCATCAGATTTCCACAATAGATCCCTCTCAATGGATTTTCAATGGGAGAAGATGTCGCGTTTGGCCTCCCTATGGATGGGCAAAGGCCCATGAGAATTTTTCAGATATCTCCGTTTGTAAGTACAGACTACCTCTTTAACAAACATCTCTATTCAGTTAAGAAACATCACAATGTTGTGAATGCTCGACAAGAGTAACACAGCAAAGTGAAGACCAAAATCTTCAAATTATGTTTCTGGAAGAGGCAGATTGTGATGAAGAAACAATACAAGAAAATCCAAGAGCAATTAAAGCCATGAACAAAGTTTTGGTTAATTCTTTTGAAGAAATCATCTTTGAAACAGTGGTATCTTCTGAAGAAACAACACAAGAAAATCCAAAAGCAAATTAAAGCCACGAACAAAGTTTTGGTTAATTCTTTAAAAGAAATCATCTCTGAAACAGTGTTGTGTTCTGAAATCATGACAGAAACTATAGAAGGAGATGTGAAAGTAGAGTGTCAAGAAATTTAATGAAGGAAAATTGCAAGAAAATCCAAGAAGAAATTACAGCCATAAATAAACATTTGGCTAGTTCTTTAGAGGAAATTATCTCTGGAACAATCTAGTGTTTTGAAACCATGAGAGAAACTATGGAAGGAGATCTGAAGGTGTTTGTCCAGAAAATCTAGAAAATGTTGTGGTTGAGGATGATTCTGGACTCTTCTTTCTGACCAGACTGATAGGGGAAATGGAGACACAGAGAAACAACCGACTTTATTGTTCATTGTGTAATGGATCTGCTTGCAGGTTTACACTCTTTTAAACTTGGCCTTGCTACAGCCAGGCTCTTATTTTGTTGTTTGTTGAGTTCACTTATCTTTTCATTATTTATTTATTTAAATCTTAATTGAAAATGGAGAGAAAGAAAACGTCAAATATTCCTTTTTTTTAATATGGTTTTTATTGTACCATTTGTAGTCTGTCTTAGGCTTGTGGAAGTGATGCCTTATAGTCTGTATTGATCTTGCAAGATCACTTGCATTTGCTTGGTTCTCATTCAATTGTTTTGTGTTCCAATGCAGGATAATTGGTGAAGTTGGAGTGAAGCACCTTGAATATTTACCTGAAATAGTGCCTGTTTTGATAAATGTCCTTAAAGATGATACACCAGCTGTTGCTCGGCAGGCCATCACTTGTGGAGCTGATTTATTTCACTGCACTCTAGAAAAAGTTGCGATTCAGGTTGGTCTTTTTGCTTTCGGATTTAGAAGTAGGCATTGTGTAGTTTCCATAAATATGTCATTCACTATGATTTAGAGCAAAAATGGTCTTCCAATTTTATTTTTAGTTAACTTGGTTGAAGAATATTTTGTTATCGAGTGTGAGAACTTTTGTAGAGTTATTATTATTATTTTTTAATTCTTGCAATGATGTGTTTTCTTTTGGAGCAATGAGATGGAACCATTTCATGAATAATACTTCTTTATCCATGTTATTTCCCTTTTGTGATTCTTGTCAGCAAGAATCATAGACTCTTTCAGTACATGCATGTTTTTAATTTCATTTTCTAAATTTATATTTATTTCATTACCAAAGCCATCCAATTTATTTAATAATGAAGAGAGTGACAGCAAAAATGATAATGGAGTTAAAATTTTAAAATGTTGTTTTTAATGTTTTCTAGAAAAATTATTTTTTCTGTGTTTTGATTATTGTACAATTTCGTAATTGTTACATAAATTCATGAAATAATTGCATGCATAAGCACGTTGTAAATTCTGAAAATGAAAAGTATAAATATTTTCATATAACAAATGAAGTCTTAATCTTCACCTG